TTTAAAACATCTTTCCAGTGGTTACTAAGCCAGAATCCATCTTCTCGGTTGAAATTGTCTCTGTGCTTGTATATGTGAATGGCCTCATGAACGAATCTCTCATGGTAGCCGGTTGGTTTGCAAAGAACCTCCGTCTTGGAGAAGTCAATGTCATGTGAGCCCACTGAATTATAACAGTGATCTGCCACGGCAGAGGAGTTCGTCCTACCGTGTTTCAAGTCTGCTTTATGTTCGCGGATGCGGTCCGAGATATGTCTTTTGGTTTCTCCAATGTAGCTACTACCACAGAGGCACTTTAGTTTGTAAACGCCCGGGTACTGTATGTCTGGAACAGCATATTTTACAGATGGAACTAAATCACGGATTTTATGTACTGTGTTGAATCGGACCTGGATCTTGTGTTTATTCAGGATTTTGGAGATCATTTTAGTGTCCCCTGCAATGTAGGGTAAGGTGATGGGTTTGAGTGGCTCCACAAGAGGATCCTTCTTCATGACTGGAGTGATGGCTTTGCGGATTGTGTAGTCGGAGTAGCCATTAGCCCTGAGAGCCTGGTGTACGTGCTTGAGTTCACTGGTAATGTGTTCCTGGTCGGAAATGCATTGGGCTCTATGGTATAGAGTCTTAATGAGGGAGTTCTTCTGGGATGGATGGTGGTGGGAATCCGGTTTCAAGTAAGCATCTGTATGGGTAGCTTTCCTGTAGACAGAGTGGCTCATTGAACCATCATGTCTCCTTTTAATTAAGACATCCAAAAAGGGTAGTTTGCCATCTTTTTCGACCTCCATGGTAAATATGATGGCTGGGTGTATGGAATTGATGTGGTCGCGGAATTGGTCTAGAGCAGGCTGGCCATGTGGCCAGATGACAAAGGTGTCATCAACGTACCTCTTCCATAAGGTCGAGCGTAGAGTGGCAGTCTGCAGGGGTCACTAAAAAGATCTCCAAAATCCTGAATAAACACAAGATCCAGGTCCGATTCAACACAGTACATAAAATCCGTTATTTAGTTCCATCTGTAAAAGATGCTGTTCCAGACATACAGTACCCGGGCGTTTACAAACTAAAGTGCCTCTGTGGTAGTAGCTACATTGGAGAAACCAAAAGACATATCTCGGACCGCATCCGCGAACATAAAGCAGACTTGAAACACGGTAGGACGAACTCCTCTGCCGTGGCAGATCACTGTTATAATTCAGTGGGCTCACATGACATTGACTTCTCCAAGACGGAGGTTCTTTGCAAACCAACCGGCTACCATGAGAGATTCGTTCATGAGGCCATTCACATATACAAGCACAGAGACAATTTCAACCGAGAAGATGGATTCTGGCTTAGTAACCACTGGAAAGATGTTTAAATCATTTCTGTTCTTAATTAATTGTATTTTTACGATGACCTTCAGACCGCAGCTCTTTCGCCAGCATTGCCTCTTAATACCTCTCACACCACGGTTAATGGTATGGTTTTACAACATGGAGTATACTAGGGCCTCGCAGCTGTCTCTCTCCCCCTCCTCTGTTCCGACCATGGACGAGCTCGTCCGTCTGAACGGGGCCCGTAGCTATCCGTGGTGCTAAAGTTGAGGGTAAGAATCCACCCATTTTTTCGCCATATAGCATTGTGATATATAACGACTTATTGTTGGTAGCTTAGCTGATTGGAGAATATAGAGTTTATTGATAACATTAAGGTAATTTATATTTTAGTTTTTTATTGGTTCACTATATAGTACTGTGAATAGCTCAGATGTGTAGGCCTTGACTTCAACATAGTAATTTCTGTGACCAGTCACTAGCTAATCACTCAGTTATTTCAATGCTAAATTCGCCTAGTTATTTCAATGCTAAATTCTCCTGTTTGATTTGTACTAAGTGCCTCGGTGAATGTGTATGGTCTGACTTTAACGTAGCTATTTCTGTGAGCAGTTACAAGCTAATCACTCAGCTATTTCAATGCTAAATTCTATGCTAATTACATTGTCAAGGGGTGCCTCTGCGGATGTGTATGCTTTAACTTAGCTATTTCAATGCTAAATTCTATGCTAATTCCATTGTCAAGGGGTGCCTCTGCGGATGTGTATGCTTTAACTTTTAACATAACTATTTCTATGACCAGTCACAAGCTAATCATTCAGCCATTTCAATGCTAAATTATATGCTAATTCCTTTGTCAAGGCGCTTTGTTCCTCTCACACAGCTTAAAGGCCGTGATCTGAACGTGGCTCTTTCACTCCAGCGCTGTCCTACCAGACAGTCTCGTCCCTTCACCTGATGAAGGCCGCTTGTGTTGTGGCCGAAACGTCGTGAGAATATTATTGTGTTATTTTATTTTATCAATTTATTATTTTATTCTCATTCTACGTGACTTTACCGAAATAACCAAAGAAAACGTGATAAGGGTTGCATATGATCAATAATGAGTGCAGTACTGCGTGAACAATTCAAGTATAATCATTTATTATAAAGTTAAAGTTTTTATTTAGATTAGCATGTGCATGTTTTAACGACTCTCTCTCTCACCAACCGAGCTCGCGTTACGCGGCGGAATTAACCACAGGTGCTGTTGTCAAAGTGAAACAACCCAGTCATTGATGAGACTGTGTTGATACTATGTTGTAATTCCAAGCCAAGAGTTGATCTTTTAGAGTTAAGGTTTAATTAGAAATAAATTGATTAATGCAGAAGTGGTCGTGTGATTCTTTCCTGAAATCTATGCATTAGAACTGGTTCTGCGTTGAGATATGAACTTGGTGACCTAAAATAAAAACACACTAATCCACTCAATAAACGTTAGTGCGAGAATAATTGTATTATACTGATTGATAATACGAAGTTAAACAGCGAAGCCGAGTTGACTCTGGCATACCGCATCACACTAGCATAACTGCATACGATTAATTGTATTATCCCGATTGATAACCGACCCTCGCCAACGAGGCGGGGTCTGATTATCATAAAGGATGTCATTAACATAACCACACCCACTCGCATAAAGTAATACGATTATCTCTCGAATTAGCATAATTTATATGCATAATTACACAAACTAACATAAATTCGGATAAATTATGCAAATTTCAAATATCATTTACTTTTTATTACTTTCATCAAATTTTCACACAACCCAAAGATAAACAACAGAGTAATAAACAAAAAAGTGATCAATTCATGAAAGCTGCGCCGTACATCAGACATCAACACAATGTAAAGGGCACCCCCAGTGGCAGCTGTCCCTGTGGGCTCAAGGTTACGGAGTAAAGGGGCATTCGTCTGCCGGTAGGGGGCGGTTATTGGCGCTGTATGTAAAGTCCCAATTGAGGCCACACCACAATGGCCTACCCTTGCGAATTATATCACTGGATCTTTAACCACAAAAGTGACCTTTGGTCGTTAATGGGTCCGCCCCGGTGCCACGTGGTTTTTGCACCGCAGTGGACAGCGATGCACGTCCCATGCAGGTCGCTCTTGCAAATGACACTGTTCCTGGTCTCTTTCTCTCACCTGGTTGAACAAAATCACCTCGAATCGGCTCCCATTCTGACAACGGTGCACAGGCTCCATGCAATTCTAAACGCCATTGAGCATTTCCCAGCGTAATACCGTGGGTATGTTCGCTGCACCGCTATACTCACTCTCTTTCACCATCATCATCACCGCTAGAATCACCATCGTCACTGCACGCATCCACACACACTGCAGTACACCCCCAGTTTACACTGCAGAGAAGCCCAAGCGAGCCCAGCCCGGCCCTGCTCACTCGTGGACCGTGGGGACCGAGCCAGCAGGGCGCGGGGAGTCCCTGCACGGGACAGGGGGTGGCACAGCAGCGGGGGGTGGCACAGCAACAGGGGGTGGCACAGCAGCGGGGGGTGGCACAGCAGCAAGGGGTGGCACAGCAGCGGGGGGGGTGGCACAGCAGCAAGGGGTGGCACAGCAGCGGGGGGTGGCACAGCAGCGGGGGGTGGCACAGCAGCAGGGGGTGGCACAGCAGCGGGGGGGTGGCACAGCAGCAAGGGGTGGCACAACAGCGGGGGGTGGCACAGCAGCGGGGGGTGGCACAGCAGCCAGGGGTGGCACAGCAGCAGGGGGTGGCACAGCAGCGGGGGGTGGCACAGCAGCAGGGGGTGGTACAGCAGCGGGGGGGTGGCACAGCAGCAAGGGGTGGCACAGCAGCGGGGGGTGGCACAGCAGCGGGGGGTGGCACAGCAGCGGGGGGTGGCACAGCAGCAAGGGGTGGCACAGCAGCGGGGGGTGGCACAGCAGCAAGGGGTGGCACAGCAGCGAGGCAGGGGGTGGCACAGCAGCAAGGGTGGCACAGCACCGGGGGGTGGCACAGCACCAGGGAGTGGCACAGCAGCGGGGGGTGGCACAGCAGCGGGGGAAGCCAAATGCCAGCCCACGGGCGAGAGCTGAAATCGGTACCCGCTAAGGTATCGCAACTCTCGTCATATCGATTTATTTAGACGCCTAATACGAGTTGATTACTTAATAACACCGCTCATGTCCAACGGTTATCACACGATCCACTGTTGTTGGCTAAAGCTATGCCAGCTCAGACGGTACCCACAAGTGAGACGTCTGGTCTGGGCTCATGGACTTTGACGTACGTAGCCAACCGTGCTGGGGAAAGACAACAAACTAAACAAAAAAAGCAGTTCTAAATAAATTAGTTTTCAATTTATATTTAAAAGTGCATAGCTCCAGTGGCTTCCTAATATCGGAAGGAAAAGCGTTCCAGACGGCTGCAGAATCGCATCTGGAAGCGCGAGATGCAGTGCCCGTATTTGTTCGATGGTTAACCAAAAGCCGCTGCTGTGAGAATGAGTTCGAGTGATGGTTTGTGCTCCTTGACGAGATCAGCAAGGTATTGTGGTTCATTTGTTGCAAGCACTTTGTGTATGTAATGAGTGCGACCTTGTAACGTATTGGTTCAACGCAGCTCAGCGAGCACTGCACGGACTCGTTGGGATGTCGCAGCGAGAGGCGCGTGTTTATAAGTTAAACCACTGCGGCTGCGACGCGATTGTTGCTCCGGCCGCATTTCCAAATGTTTTTGAAGGATTCTCGAAACGTGGTGGATGCGATGTAAGCGATGAGCGGGTCGAAGAGGCCGTTGACCACGATGAGGCAGAGCACGACGTCTCGGAGCAGAGCCAGGCTCCTCCACGAGAGTGTGTTGGACTTGCTCTGGATGAAGCCGATGACGTGGGACACGTTGTACGGAGTGAAGCAGACCAAGAAGACGACCAGCACCAGGAGGGTGAGCTTGACGGCGCGTTTCTTTTTGTCCCGGCTGATGGTTTCCGTCCGATTCCTCACTTCGATCAGAGCCTTGATGACGTTTATGTAGGAGAAGAGCATGACGGCAAGGGACGTGACGAAGAGGGAGAAGAACAGGAACATCCGGTACCTGATGAGGTAGTCAGTCTCCGCCTGCGTGAACGTCTCGTAGCACTTCGTGAACGGCTGCGCGCTGCTGCCGTTGGTGGCGTTGATCTGGGCGGTGAACGCGACGTAGTTGATGGGCGCGATCTCGGCGACGGTGATGACCCAGATGACGGCGCACACGATCCACGCCGTCCTCGGCTCCCGCCAGCGCGACACCTCCAGCGGGTGCACCACGGCCTTGTAGCGGTCCACGCTGATCGCTGCCAGGATCATGATGCTGGCGTAAATGTTCGTGAAGAATATCAGGGTTGTTACGCGGCAGAGGAACGAAGGGAATATCCAGTTACCGCCATTGCTGATGTACACGATTTTCATCGGCAGGACCATCAAGTAGAATAGATCAGCAATGGCGAGGTTCACCACGTAAATGGACATGGAGTTCTTCTTTGTAGGGCCTAGCACCCAACACACCACCATATTCAGCGGTAAGCCAATAGCTACCGTTGAAACGTAAATCGGTAGAATCACAAAATCTGAGAGAAAATTCATAGATTCCATTCTCTGAAACCAACAGCAGATAAACCCGCATTCACACAAAGCAACCTGAACTTAAAGAAAACACCCCAAGCGAATATCCCTACGTGGCGTCGGGCATCTGCCACTAAGCGTCTGATGTGGTGACCGGGCAGGGAAGACACCGCATCCACCCGTGAGTGGCTCACGGCAGGCTGCCGCTGGCACGAAGAGACACAGTGGAACTGCTGCTGCTGCTCGCCACCACGAGGCAACAAACCTCGGACCTCGCCGGCGTGACGGTGGGGGGCTCGGCCCGCCGCTTCTCCCCGGGGGGGAGCGGGGGGGGGGGTGCCTCCCGGCAGGCTGCGCTCGCACCACGTGAGAGTGGCGCCGCGCGGCTGCACTCAACGTGGCGCGAGGCTGCCCCAGGGCGTCCTCTGCGCAGGCGGCAACTCGTGCAGGGGGACTAGCGTCTCTCTGTCACACCGTGGGACGTCGTTGTGCAATCCAACCGGTGCTGGGCAGATGCGGCTGCTGTGGTGGTGCCTGTGAAACGATTGACCGGAGGAAACATCAATTTAGCAAAGGGCAGGCATTGCCCACGGCGAAGTTCCATCATCCTCGCTCGGCAGGTTCTTGTCCACGGTGCATAGCCAGGAGGAGGACCTGGAGGCTCTCTTTCTCGGCCCCGCCTGCTGTGGTGTTCAGAGCGAGGGCCGGAGAGAGCTGCACTCTGCTCCTTCATCTGAGCGTCATCCTGCAGCAGCACGACTCACAGCACCGGGGACACAATGCGTGGCAACAGCAGCAATGATAGCAAAGCTCACATCAATCGCGTCAACAAATGGTAGCCGGCACCGCACTGGCGAGACACGCTGCGATGGTGATCATTTGTTCGACACCAACTCTGCGTCGTGAAGCTGTCCTCGTATGCCTCTGGCTTCTCGCCAGGCTGGAACGGTAACTGCGATTAGTGAGCATGGAGCACACGGGACTGAAATAAAACGCTGCACAGAGCCTGTTGTGCATGGAGGAGAATCGATGCGTGTAGCCCCTGTACATGAGAGAAACACAAGACTGTCGACGGAGCTGGGACAAACAATAACTGACCCGTGGCATCTGATAAACTCACTGGTGTGGTTTTAGATACGGAGCCAAACAAGCCAAACATCTAAAGAGCGGCTCAGGTCCCAATGGACGAACTGATCTGGCGTGAGCATCGTGTACCGTGAACCCTAAGCTCACGTTCACCCTTCTGAAGGGACATTTCCCGCTCTGTGTACGTGAGTGGACTCACCACACGAAGTGTGTCTTGTCCTCGGTGAGTCGGCAGGGGAAGCCAGCGTGTGAGATCGGTGATGTGGAAGCGAGTCTGTGGGACATGCTAGACTCTCTAGTATATATACACGAGGGCACCAGGGGGAGGAGGGCCCGGCCGGGCGCGCGAGCTGAGTGATGATGCGCTCGATGCTGCTGCCTGCAGCAGCTGCTGCTGCTTTGAATGGGGAAAACTCAACAAATGAGGCATCATCACCACCACACAGAGGAGGGAAAATGCACAACTTACAACAACAGCGAATGTGATGGCGGTCACCCAGCATCACTGCGCGGTGTCACGCTGCACTCTGGACACAGCACGGGTGGCCACGGTTGCGAGATGTTAACTACCTCGCCCAGTGTACAGGATGTCTTGGGCTCGATCCCGACCCTGACGATGCCTGCTCTATATCTCTCTCCCCGTGGTCGTGTGGAGTTTTCTCAGGGTCCTCTGGTTTTTTTCCCTCCACAATTTGGCTGCTACAAATTTCCACGCAATAAGCCACTTAATTGAGCTATCATTTGTGGTCAGGTGGCTTCTGAAAAGAGCGAAATGGCTCAGTGGGCCTTACCTGGCAAAATAGAAAATAGTTCATAATCGTATAGTTTATTGTTTTCAATGGCCAGTGTCACGGCCGCGGCTGTGGTGGCGCCAAACCGACACGAAGCGGACCGAGTGGAGCAGACAACGTGAATGAATTAATCGTTCAGGTGGCGGTACAAGCCCCAGTGTGTCGGCACGACGCGCACTCTGCCCGAATAGTATGGAATGTATGTTGAACGTATTTCGCACCGTACGTGGCAAACCATACTCATTGGAGGTGCAGGGGAAGGACAACAAACTAAACACAGAAGGCAGTTTTAAAGAAACGAGTTTCCAATCAAGATGTAAAGGTGTGTAGCTCCAGTGGCTTCATATTGTCGGGAATTCCAGACGACGGAGAAGCGTTTCTGAAAGCGCGCGATGCAGTGGCCGTCTTAGTGCATTGAAATTCACTCTCTTTCACCCATTCTCATCGCATTGACCTGAAGAGGTGCACACAAAGTATCCAAGAAATTGGGAAAAACTGTAAAATCATATTTTTGGTTCTTTCGGTAAAGTCACGTAGAAGGGAAACAATAAAATAATAAAAATATAAAACAATAAAATTATCACGACGTTTCGACTGCAACACAAGCAATCATCATCAGGTGTGAAAACCACAACAATAAAATTTTAAATCTTTTGCTTGTGTTGCAGTCGAAACGTCGTGAGAATGTTATTGTTTTATATTTTTATTATTTTATAGTTTCCCTTCTACGTGACTTTACCGAAAGAACCAAGAATATGAATCCCTGCAGTCACGAAAGCTTTAAATCAAAACTCTAAAATCAGTTAAGGCGAGCTCATAAAACAGACACTGACACTTGAATCACCACAACCGGGCAACATCGCACAATTCTGAGCTCGCGGCCGTCGTGAACACGGCTGGCTCACTTTGGACGTCCCAATGAGGCTTCTTCGCCTTTTATTTCACTGCAAATTCCTGCGGATAAATTTTGTCGTGCCTCACCCATCGCCCCCACTAATGCCCCCCCCCCCCCATGTGTGCAGATACTACTATAGACTCTAGTGCATGTAGGGTGTGTAGGTGTATACAGTCAGTAGATAGTAGCTACTACTGACTGTTGTATGTAGGGTGTGTAGGTGTATACCGTCAGTAGATAGTAGATACTACTGACTTGTATGTAGGGTGTGTTGGCATATATAGTCAGTAGATAGTAGCTACTACTGACTGTTGTATGTAGGGTGTGTAGGTGTATACAGTCAGTAGATAGTAGATACTACTGACTGTTGTATGTAGGGTGTGTCGGCATATATAGTCAGTAGATAGTAGCTACTACTGACTGTTGTATGTAGGGTGTGTCGGCATATATAGTCAGTAGATAGTAGCTACTACTGACTGTTGTATGTAGGGTGTGTAGGCATAGTCAGTAGATAGTAGATACTACTGACTGTTGTATGTAGGGTCTGTAGGTGTATACAGTCAGTAGATAGTAGCTACTACTGACTGTTGCATATAAGGTGTGTAGGCATAGTCAGTAGATAGTAGATACTACTGACTGTTGTATGTAGGGTGTGTAGGTGTATACAGTCAGTAGATAGTAGATACTACTGACTTGTATGTAGGGTGTGTCGGCATATATAGTCAGTAGATAGTAGCTACTACTGACTGTTGTATGTAGGGTGTGTAGGCATATTGACCAACAAAATACTTTTCTTTTGGGGGGGGGGGGGGGGTGAAGATTATTTTTTGGTTGGCCAACAGTTGTAAACCTGTTGGATCAACTTTTCACCCCACATCTGGTGGGGTGTCCACTTTCTATAACCTTTTCATTCAGGCCTTCTGAAAGACCCTGATCATTGAGTTGATGGACAAACGGAACGCCGGGAATTCATAATAATCAAATAGATGGGAAGGAGCCACCGCTGTGAACATCTCTCGCAGGCTTCCCTGCTTCTATCGCTCGCAGTCGAACGATTCGCGTGCAACTGAAGTTAGTGTATCTGCCACACTGTTGCTGCTGTGGGACACAGAGGCCGCTTCTCGGCCTCTGTGTCCGCAGGGGGCTCGTGGCGGTCTCGTCGTGGCTGTGTTGTGGCGGAGCTTCAAGCGACGCCAGCCTCGGGGTCGATCATTCAACGACTGTGGCGGTGCGAGCCTCTGAGCGAAGTGCGTCGGGCGCCTTGCCCGAGGTCGCCGTCAACAGCCGTGACGGCGATGCAACGGAGATAGGACCACTGGTGGGGACCGGTTTCGTCATTGTTTGTTGTGATCAGAATCAGGATATGTATTTAAACTGGAGGAATCCGATGAGCTATAAAGCTCTTTTTTCACAGATGTCCACTGAGAGCCAGTCAGAACGTTACAACAACAAACAGTACAGAAACACGATAGGAATGTAAAGTATAGACAAGGTAAACAAAAAGCTTAAAATATACAAGTAAAACTATGCAATGTTTTTGTATCTGACCAGGTATAGCCCACGCGCACTGCGTCGTCTCCAATCGCAAGAGCAGTCGTGCGAGGAGCTGCCCAGCCGCGTGACTTAGAGGCGGGCAGGGCTCGCGTGCAGAGGATGGCGATTGGCAGCTCCGCGTGTGATCAGGGCAGCCAGGGGAGCCGCTGCGTTAGGCGGGAGAGGAGCCGTGAGCCTGGCGCGCCGTGCAAGTGGCCCAGGTGGATGTTGACTACCTCGCCTGGTACACAGGAGCGCGTAGGTTCGATCCCGACCCTGACGATGCCTGCTGCTGTCTATTTGGAGTTTGCGTTCCTCTCTCTCCTCGTGGCCGTGTGCATTTTTCTCCGAGTGTTCCCCTCCACATTTAGAATCAATTGGCACGCGTGCAGAGTGTTTGGCTGCTGCTGTAAATGTGCACGTGACTAGCCACGTCGTTATAGCCAGGTCGCTTCTGAAAAAGAGCTGTACAGCTCAGTGGGCCTTATCTGGTCGAATAAAAAAAGTAGTTTAAATAGTTTGAAGCAAGGCGCCGGATTCTACCATCAGGGAGGAAGGGCGGTGTGTACGCACCCTGGGGGGGGGGGAGGGGGGTGAGTCCCATTCCACGTTCCTATGCTCAGAGCGAGGCCGCAGCAGGGCCCTGCACAAACGAGCAGCAGCGGCAGCTGAGCGAACGCGCAGTCCGACCAAGCCGCGACGTCGTGGCCCAGTACCACGGTGGTGTATATATATGTGTCCGCTGTTTGTGCGTGAGCGTCGTAATCCGTTGTAT